GTTGGTTTAACGAAATCCCACTTCCCCTACTAACAACATTTAGTGCCCTACGCAGCAAAGCAAAGTCTTTCTTAAGTAGTCCAGGAAAGATAAATGGGGAGCAGTAAAGAGGGATGGGTGGAATACAGGAATTGACAAACTGAGAAAGCAAAGACTGCTTTATACCAGACTGCCTTAACTTCTCAACGTAGAACGCTAAGCGAAACATCTTTCTAGTAACTAGCAAGATGTTAGAGGACCAGGAAAGATCGGAGGAAATACTCAGTCCAAGGTACTTGACATTAGATGTAGTTTCAACCTCTATGCCGTCAATGATAGTGGGGCCATGTGAGCTAGCTAGTTGTTGTAGGTCACGTTTTCGTCTGAAAGTGAAATTGACTACCTGACATTTAGACGGATTCAGCTTAAGACCATTTGAAGAGGACCACTGACTAATTTTCGAGAGAAAGTTATTTAATTTGGAACAGTCTGACTGAGAGTTGACAGGCATGGAGATAGAGAGGTCATCAGCATACTTGACAAAAGTGGCTACATCAGAATGGGGCAAGTCATGTAAGAAAAAAGAAAACAGAAAAGGAGAAAGAAGAGCACCTTGAGGAACACCAGCTAAAGTACGTGAGGTAGTGCACATGTATATTAATTTCTTTTCAAACACAGTCATCGTTATTAACAATGCTTTTGAATACCTGAAGAACTATGAGAGATGCATCCAAATATATTAACGTATTCACATATTGTGGATAGACTTCGACTTACTTCCTGTGCACAATCAGTGATTCGTATTAAACGTTAAGCATATGTGACCAATGTTATCGAACCAACCACTATCTATCGTCGATATCATCTGCTACTTTGGAGTTAAGTATGTCGACTATACTAAGCGTTCTTTATGTGAATGTTGCACTGAACATTCCCCCCCCCCATGGTTTTACAGAGAAACACTTATTCGATTCTGGACATCAATCAAAATCAAAACCTAGCAACTTCATGCTCATCTAGCAAGTGTATGTGCAATCGTGCCCAGTGGAATAGGAATCGAGATTCTTCAAACTTCAATGTACGAAATATTTACATAGAAAAGATTTGAAGCTCAGGTGAATGATTTGCAATTATTAGTGTTCTCTGAGCTAGTTTGTTTAGTTGCGGAGCTTTCGTCGTCCCCCTGCTGGACAACATCCCCTTTCAGCACAATATTTAGCATAAAGTAAAATGATTTAAATTTCTTCATGAGTGATACAATTGCATCTCCCGGTAACCATCTTTACATACGTGTACTGACCATTTTCTATTGACTTGGATTTTAAACTTTCTGGTCACCTCATTAACATTTTATTAGTTGGTATATTTCGTCTATGTTAATATGTTTGTTAATTGCATTTTCTTTTGAGTACCAGGCTTCTAGGAATTCCCTGACTGTACTTTTGGTGTTTCCTCTGTCTAAGACTTTGACCATAATTGTCATCAAGATCATATCAGGATTAATAGCCGAAGCCGTTATGCAAAGATTGGAATTAATAGCTCTACCTATAATTAAACCGAAAATCTGGATTCCTTACGTTTATGATACATTTGTAGTAATTAAGACAAATGATTTAGAATATACCCATAAATTAATAAACAACATTTTTGAAGATATCAAATTCACAAGAGAAGGAGAATTAGATAACAAAATCCCATTTTTAGATGTCTTAATGAGGAGAACTAAAACAGGAAATTTAAAAACACAAGTATATAGAAAATCAACGCACACAGATCAAATACTCAACTATACTAGCAATAATCCAGTTACTCACAAACGAAACTGTGTGCAGACATTGTTTAAAAGAGTTCAAACACACTGTAGCACTACAGAGTTGAAAACAATGGAAGAAAAGTACCTACAAATGGTCTTCAAAAAGAATGGATAACCTCACACAATTTCATCAAAAAGTGTTTAAAGTCGAATCAAAACACCAACAAAGAAAATCATCAAAGACCAGAAGAAAATTCATTCTACCATACATGAGAAATATCTCTGAAATAACAGCTGGAATACTGAAACCGTTGGAAATAGATATAGCACACAAGCCAGTCACCACAATCGCTTCATTCGATATTATGCAAACCGTAAGATCCAACAGGAAACGAAGATAAAATTAATACCATTTACAAAATAAATTGTATGAACTGCAATAGACATTACATCAACCAAAGTGGGCGTCCCCTTCGAATTAGAATCCAAGAACACAAATCAGCCGTGAAAAGACACAATATGTATTCTTTAGTATCAATGCATATAGACAATTATGGTCATCAGTTTGATTGAGATAATGTCGAAATCTTAGACAGAGGAAACACCAAAAGTGTAGCCAGGGAATTCCTAGAAGTCTGATACTCAAATGAAAATACAATTAACAAGCACGTTAATATAGACGAAATCTACCAACTAATAAAAAGTAAATCAGGTGACCAGAAAAAGTAAAATCCAAGTCAACAGAAAATGGTCAATACATATGTAAAGATGGTTACCAGGAGACGCAATTATATCACTCATGAAGAAATTTAAATCATTTTACTTTATGCTAAATATTGTGCTGAAAGGGGATGTTGTCCAGCAGGGGACGACGAAAGCTCCGCAACTCAACCAACTAGCTCAGAGAACACTAATAATTGGAAATATTCACATATTGTATCATTAGAAAACGAAGTAGACAGATGAAAAAATTTTCTTTTTGACGATTTATTTTTATATGGTAATAAAAATAAGCAAAATTATGGTAAGAACTTTATTCTGGCCACGATAGAGCAAGTGAATGTATGTAGAGCTTTTGAATGCAGACGACCAGTTTCAGATCCCGAATAGCTTATGCTTCAGCTATGTGCAGATGGCATATGACAAGCTGAAGCAATAGCTGTTTAGGATCTGAAACCGGCCGTCTGCATTCAAAAGCGCTACGTATATTCACTCGCCCTATCAAGGTCAGAGTGAAGTTCTAATTATAACCTTGCTTCTTTTGATTATCTTATGAAAATGGAATGGTCGAAAAGAAACTGTTTTTTCGCTTTTAAAGTCATTTTCTAATGACTCTTGAAAATGAATAAACATGTTAATTCGCATGTTAAATCCTAAAATTTGCGCGAAGAAGAAGTTTGTTTATTCACTGAACAGATGATGGATATGATTTATTTTAGGATTTCTTTCAGTATATTTCTTTACTCATTTCTCATTAAGGCAAATCATGTTCTGACCAAATTGCAACTTTTCGCATCATCATCGAACAAAGCATGGAATGGCAATCAAATCTCTACCTCAGCTTTATAGACTTTGAGAAGGCCTTCGACAGCGTTGACCGCGAAGTAATTTGGAAACTACTCGAGTACTACGCCGTAACCCAAATATTCATCAACCTTATTCAACAGCTGTACGACAACGGCACATGCCAAGTGATCAACAAAGGAAAACTCAGCGAAGCGTTTGGAGTAAACACAGGAGTCAGACAAGGGTGCTTATTATCACCGATGATATTCCTAATTGTGATGGACTGGATGATGCGTCAGACAGTGGGAAACGAGAAGACAGGGATATCCTGGACCGACGTGAAGAACCCAGAAGACCTGGATTTCGCCGATGACTTATGTTTGATGTCACACAAAATCGAACACTTACAAGCGAAAACCGACAAACTGGTCGAAGAAGCAGCAAAGACAGGACTCCAGGTGAACATAGACAAGACGGAGGTTATGAAAATAACCAAACAACAACAACAGCTGCAACATCCAGTGCCAATCACCATCAACGGGAGGGATTTGAAAGAGGTTACTTCATTCACTTATCTAGGTAGGGAGCATTGTCTCAACTACAGGAGGAACGGACGGACGAGGATGTCAAATCGAGAATCGGGAAGGCGAGAAACACATTCATCAACCTGAAACCAATCTGGAAATCTTCGTCACTCAGCAACACTCAACAACAAAATTCGGATTTTCAATACAAACGTCAAGTCAGTCAGTTTTTCTATACGGATAAGAAACTTGGCGGTTCACAAAGAATATTTCCAACAGCCTGTTGCACACCTTTATCAACAACTGTCTTCGCTCTATACCAAATATCAGATGGCTGGAAAGAATCGTCAACAAGAAACTATGGGAACAAAGAAAACAAGAACCAATCGCTCAACAAATATGCAGGAGAAAGTGGAGATGGATTGAACACTTGCTCAGGAGGCCGCTGGGTGAGCCCGAAAGGGAAGCGGCGAGTGGGACGTCAGTGCAAGTGTGACATGGAGGAGATCGTGTGAAGAGGAGTTGAAACAGTATGGACTAACATGGATGCAGGTGAAAAGTACAGCACAAGACAGAAGCAAGTGGAGACGTGCAGTTGAAGCCCTATGTTCCACTAGGAACCCAAGGGAACAATAAGAAAATTATAAAATACATTTCTTTTTAACACATTTGTACTTAATATTCAAGTGCTGGTTTGCAGAAATTTGATTGGGTACAGGGCTTCATCATCAGCTATATCGGTTTGAGAACTATTGACAAATCACCAGGGAGTACTGGACAGCTGTTTTATCAGGCTACTTTGAGAGTCTTCGGTAGCATTCACCCACTTTACTGCCTGAGTTCGAACCCAGACCATTGAGCCACTGGTACCCTTTACAGTTGATTCCAACTTATTCTAATTCACGATACATAGCGTGACTACTAGACAATGTCACCGGTGGAGTGTATTTGTCCTCACAGCCTACTTGCTTTACCTCACTAATTACAACTTCTCGCTAGAATCCAGATAATTACCCTAACTGAATATGACCAGTCGCCAGTGTCAGAAAGTTTTGTGAGTAGTGTCTTATTATTACTATGAGCGGCAATAAATTTTACTCAAAACGTGGTCGTCAGTAAATATTACTGTATAACACTATGAACCTTAATCCAAAAATATATTTTTCTCTGTGAAGGAATCAACACAACTTCTTAGAGTAGAATAAACAGGTTACATGAAAAAAAATGTGAAAACTCACCGTCTTTGTTTTCAGCTGATAGGTGTATTGATTGGCATTTTGAGCCGACGCATTATAATACATTGAATTCCGTCCTTTGTCTGGAAACTCTGTCCTTTGATTGTCAGGATCAGTGGTGAGTGGTTTCGTTTTGACTAAATCCCTATCGTCGTCAAACTGATGGTATTGCCAGTCTTGACGATTTACTCCACTGCCGAATTCAAATGGTTCCAGCGATATGAACTGATTATTAGCATAGTTGTAAGAATCATCACTGTGATAATCAGATCCGATCTGTTTTGAATAATTTTTCGAATAGACGACTAATTGATCTTCGATCAAACAGGTTACTGTACCATTTTCATTCAGATCAGGATCATTAACGGTCAGAAATGTAGCTATTGTATTCTTCGGTTGATTACCAATCATTTTAGTATGCAGTGAAACATTTCGGAGTTGTTGAATAATTGAACTTGCAGTTATAGTTTTATTATTGACTATTGAATGCCAAAGTTCCTTTATCCTTTCATTGTGTAACTCGCTTTTATTGTTGATCATATTTAGGGGATTCTTGTGTAAATGTTGTCGATACTGGCCGGCTTCTTCTGTTAATTGTATCAATGGATGGTTGTCATTGACATCTAATATTTGTAATACCACTAAAAGATTTGAACTTCTTTGTGGAATACCATGATCCAGTGCTGTGATAGTGAAACGGTGTAGACCAGTTGAGAATGGTGCTGCCTCCCTGTCTAGCGGATTTTGTACAATTAATTCACCGGTAGTTGAATTCAACCTGAAAAACTAAGAAAAGATATCAGAATTAAGGATGTGAAACTTATTTAAGGGATACATGAGTTCAAATGAACTGTCGTCAAGATTTGATGGAATAGTTCTAAAATATTTGGGCGCCGAGTGAGAAGTAGACATTTGTAAAAAATTATTATATTTGTAAAATCTCAGTGAGATTGAAATAAGTAATTCCAACGTTTCCTGCTTTCGGCAATCTGGTCCGAATTTTCTTCATGGAAATTAATCGAAATTAACATAACAGAGGTTTATATATAAAAGGAACATCACTAGTTTTTGAAAAACTTTCTTCAAAGAAACTGTGTAATTGGCACAATCATCGTGTTTTCACTCTCCGTTGTCTGCAACAGAATGCATATCCTATATCCGTAGCTGTTGAGTCACCTGACAACTACAGTAGGTCGAATAAAGCAGCTCAATTTTCAGAAAGAAGACAAAGCAATAAGTTCGACAGGGTGCTTCAACTAAACTCCAATCCTAAACACCATAATTTTGAAAATACGTCCAATCATAAAATTCTAGATACTAGCAGTTTGAACGGACATGAAGGTTTGATGTTAGCTGATGCATAGGAAATCCTGATTAATAAATAAAAAGTGGATATGTATCACTAATTAATAGTACTTGGTCAAAATTCCCGACTGTCTATATTTTCTTATGGAGACATTAAGAAATGTTTTACAACTGTTTACCCACACACACACATACACACTCTGTTTAAAGTGTTTAACAAAGGTAGACCAATATTTGTATGTCCGAGGTCAAATTTTGATCACAACTCATAAAATTTTGTTTACTGTACTTGTTGATACTTTTTGAATGACTCATGATTGGACAAAGTTTTTATAAACAAGAAATGCTCCTTTTATATGTAAACCCCTGTTATGTTAATTTCGAATAATTTCCATGAAGAAGTTCGGACCAGATTACCGAACGCAGGAAACGTTGGAATTACTGATTTCAATCTCGCTGAGATTTTACAAATATAATAATTTTTTACAAATGGTTACATGAGTTATTCAACATTTCGCTAAATACCAATAAAAACATAAAGTAAATTTGGTGAAGAGTCTGGTCAAACACTGAGGCCATTTATGAATGCGACTCATGGTTAGGGAGCAGAGTGTAATTGTTCGACATACATCAGAGATATTTTGTGGATGTTTTTTTAAAATAAAGACCTATCACAGACTGGGATAAATGATATGGAAAACTTGAAAGTACTAGATAGCTGTTTCGTCCTAGTTCGGTAATCTTGGTTAGTATGCACACATAAAACCGACAGAAATCGAGGCCAGGGATGTCAGGTTAGATCTTTAAACCATCAGGACAGAATCCTATTGGTCATGAATTTTAACTTCTGCCAACTGGCAGTATATAGCTCGGCCGTTGGCTAGTGTTGTAAGTAATGATAACATAAATAAGAGAGAATATAAATCATCCACTGTTATACCATATAAGGAGGGAACATCTGCGACCCTACATGGTAGGATTCTTAATAAAGAAGGAATTAGGGTGGCATTCAAACCTGCAAACTCAACCAGGTAGGACAAGCCCCGTAAGTAAAAGGACCCGGTTGACCCAATTAAACAAAATAATATAATTTACAAAAGACCCTGCAATGACTGTGAGTTAAGTCAACTACATGGGTCAAACAAGTAGGTCAGGGATAGTCAGATTGTCAGAACACAAGAATTTAGCTAAGGGAAGAATGGTTGATCCCGAGAAGATGAGTAATTTAGAAAAAGGAAATCAGCAATAGCACTGCATGCATTAACACACAACCGCACAATAGGGTGGGATAGAGTTAAGTATTTAAGAAGTAATCTAGGTAGGTGGGGAGAGAGGTTGATGACGGAATCCTACCTGGTTCATTGAGTCTACACCCAACACAGCGCATGCAACAGAAATGACTCAATGTAAATACCAGAAATATGGAAGATATTATTACCACCAGTCAGTCAAATCAGAAGAGGATAATAAATAATCTCAAAATTCTATTTCAATTCAAGCACATCACAACATTCTAAGAAGTAACTTATTATGGCTATAAAAACACTCATCTTATTTCCCATCTGATTGTATTTGATCAATAGCACTCATATTTTTATTTCTGAATGTACATTATCCGATATTGATTTTTTATTCAAATGTCTAATCATCAATTCCACACATGTATATAAATGAAGGAAAAAAGTTGTGTGAGTGACTTGATATGATTATGAGTGGCAATAGTTTGTGCTCGAAACGTGGTCATCAGTTAATATTACTGTGTAACACTGCGAGATTTATCAAAATAAAATCTCCATAATGAAGTTATGCTCTACCACAGTGCCCATGTTTTATACTTATATCAATAATGTTGTAAGCGTTGGAACCTGGGGTACCTAGCTGGTCATCATATTTTTGCCCCATTCCCAGTCACTAGTGAGCATCTGATTGATTTTTGAATGTCAGTTTCTGGGGATTTAATGGTTTCAAGTCTGTTAGTGGAGTCATCAGGAAGGTTATGAGACGTAGTGACCAGTGGGGTTCACTAGGTCGGGTGTGAGTACAAATACGCGCCTATGATATCGGCTGGCGGTGACACTAAAAATCACGAATTGATAGGCTATCACATTCTGTCTCAATGGCTGAATGACCAATGGGCTCGCATCCTAACCTGAAGATCCTGGCTTCATTCTGTGATTGAGTGATAAGTGGACACTGCTGAAGAGCCACAAATTATGAATAGACTTTCCATTCTTATCTGGTTTTCAGTGGTTCTCTAGTTGGTATCGATTCGAGATTATACCTGAATCCATTCACATCCCTACGAAATGACCCTTGAAATATAAAGTAACAAAAGCTTTGGTTTAAGTTGTGGTAGATTTTAACACATCCAATCAGTTAGATGGTAGGAGGCAGTCGGCAAAAGGAAGCCTCGTGGCAACTAGCTTTCGTGCAAGGAGTGTATCAGTAATCTTGCAGGGACTCGTGTCACCTAGTGCTGCCTACAGCCAGAGATGTTACCACTGAGCATTTCGGGCTTGTGGTTGATCTCCTCTGTGGGAGTTAATTAGATACTTTGATTGGACACTAGATGCATGACACTACTTAGTGTTCAATCAAAGTAGCCAGTCAGGGTGACAAAGGTCAAGATTTTCTTTGAATCTGAGGTGAAGCAATGACGTTTTGTTTCTGTCCATCAAGTTCACCACCAAGTTGGAAAAAATTTGACAATTCACCATATCTAAAACATATTTCAACATCTTATCAACCTCATTCAACAGTCATATGGCATTCTTATGTGTTAAGTGGTTCACAACGGAAAACTGAGTGCAGAAGCCATTGAAGCAAAGACAAAAGTCAGGCAGGGCTGCTTCCTAGTATCACCTAGGATATTCTTAATTTTGGTGGGCCGGATTATGTGGAAGACAGTGTGTGGGGAGCGGGAAGACAGGAATACGTTGGACAGATATGGAGACTCTACAAGACCTATATTACGGTGGTATTACGGTCTAGTGTCACACAGACTCGAAGACTTGCATGAGAAAACCAAAAACAGTCTGAAGAAGTTCCGAGGACGGGACTGCAGGGGGACATAAGGAAGATAGTGGTACTGAAGAGTATCAACCAACAGCATCAACATTCGGCTTCAGTCACCATCAACGTTACTTCATTCACTTATCCAGGAACCATGGTTTTAACCACAGGCAGACAAAATGAATGAAGATGTCAAAGCCATACAGAGAGGATCTGGGAGGCAAGATACTCTTTCGTCAACCTGAAACCAGTTTGGAAATCTTCTGCACAACCTCAACGAAGAGAAAAGGATTGGGATTTCCACCACACATATGAAGTCAGTCAATTCTTGTATACGGGTCAAAATGTTGCACTGCGTGTCACGAAAAGGATTTTCAACAGGTTGCAAACTCATATCAACAGAAAAAATTGTAATGGATTGGACACACTCTGAGGAGACCATCGAATGACCAGTTGGCCGTGAGTTTGAGGATGACATGGAGGAGATCGTGTAAGGAGGAGAGGAGAGATTACAGACAATCTTGTGGTCAGCTGAAGTGGACAGCGGGAAATAGAACAAAGTGGAGATTTGTTGTTGAAGCCCTACATTCCACTAGGAACACAAAACAACGAGACCAATAATAATAATTCACCACTGGGACATAAAAAAGTTTTAAACTATCGAATATTATCTATTACCTTGATCCATGTTGGATTCGTTTGTGTGCAGCATCAGTCAGGTCGTATTAAAGGATGTTCTACAAGCTGATTTTGGTAAGAATCCTTTGAAATTACCCGTACTTTTGAATACTACAGAGAAAATACTTATCAGAAAATTCGGCGAAAAAATCTAACTTAAGATTGTTCCCTTAGGTTTCAGGGGGAACAGGAATTCTACATCTCACCCTTTTCTCTGAAGTCCATTTGATCTTTCTCCATGATTTCTCATAAGATCTCATCTTCTTCTCAAACGACCTCATCCATATCGTAGTCGGACTCGCACTCAACTTGTCATTTCCCTTCATGTTCCACTTGAGGGCCTGGATGGAGCATGATGTCACTCAGCAGCTTTCTTATTCTAAATCACCAGAATTGTACTCAACAATGCTAATCATTTTAAGCGTCTATACAATTTGATTCATCAAGCTTTCTACATATCCAATGAACTCAAGTCTCAACGAGTCAGTTAAACAGGAAATTATCAAAATGCCTCATGTTCTACTAAAATAAGTAGTATAAACGTTTCAATTTGCAGAAAAATGAAGGCTAAGTGGATGAGATAGTTTCTCCTTATAGAGATCAATACAACATTGAAAAATTTATCTGTCTACCCACCAAATTCAGAGGAAACATTTTCAACCTAAAGTTACGGGTTTCGATAAACGGAAATAATTATTTTGTACATTGGCGATAAAATAATTTTAAACAAGTTAGCTAGTTTCATTGCATAAAAATTGACTGTCTTTGCTTACAGTGATTATTTATTGTCA